GATTTATTGATGGGTTGAAAGAAGTATCTGTTCCTACATAAATAGCACTCATCCAAATGTAAAACGGATCATCATCTTGCGATGAACTATACACCGTGGGCATGGTGAACTTTTTCTCCTTGGGTTCTGAAACAAATGTAGAAAATCGAATTTTTGTGTGACTTTTTTGCAAACAAAAAATCACAAACTTTTACCGGTCGATTAAATAAATTATGGGACAATCCAAATTCTAGCTATGATGCCTTACTACTTTCGAAGGATAAGAAAAACTAAAACAGGGACTGGCATGAAAACAGTGCCCAAACCGTGTGTTAGTCTCACTGGAGAAGGGTACGGTATGGGCGAGGCTTTGGTGTAGAATGTCTCAGCCGCAATATATACACATAGATTTCCGTTTCAGTAATAGCTAGTTGGAGCCTCCTAGTGACTTTCCACATCAAGTCTAGATTTCATTGTCCGGACACTGACCCTTAACAACTGAAAACTGATTGTTTCCGAAAGGCAGTTAAACTAGACCCTCTCAACTATTAGGAACCATGAGAAGAATTGTATAGTGTGTATAAGTGTCTTATGAGCATTTACAATTTCTAAGCCAGTCCAGAATCGCCGGTGCCACCGCCGTGCCAGCGTGGTGCTAACGCTGAGCTAGAGCGCATTTGCAGTATTGATTAATCGACGCTCCGGCACAACATAGCATGGCGTTACACGGCGCTGACACGGTGTGGGCACGTGCAACTTTAGGCGCACCCAGTTTTTGAAGTGATTTACCAGCTTTAGACTTTAGCTTTTTAGACGTTTTCTCTAGAGACTTACTTGCAACAGCTTCTGGATCTACGCATTGCACTTGTGCAGTAGTTTGCTCTTCCGCCACTGTGGCAGACGAAGCCGTGGAACCACCAAGAATGTCCGCCTCCGATGATGTTCTTTCCGTCCCTGTCGATGCCGTTGAGTCGCTTACTTCCGCTAGATTCTCCTCCAGTGGAGCCGCCTTAGTAGTGCTTCCCAAAGATCCCGGACTCGTACCACCAACTGTCGTTGGTGAGTTTTGACCTGTACTAGGGCTCCCGTCTTTACCAGTTGTCCCTTCTGGCGGTTGTGGTGACGTCTGCATTTGCGGCTGCGTTTGCGTTTGCGCTTCGGTGCTAGCTGCAGCCATGGTAGAGCAAACTGGGAGAGGAGGTACTACTGTTGTGGTAGTTGTAGGTGCCATTGTTGTAAACATCGTGCCATTCGGCTCGGGACACGGTGGCAGTGTTGTACCTTCACCGTCGCCAACAATTTTCGCATACTTAGGAAAAGTCAGCAAATCAGTTTTGGAAATCTAGAAAGATTGCGGATGCGTATTTTGCGTAATTCTTTGGCATGTATACAAACCTGAGCTGCGAACATTTCCTGCATTCTTAGAGCATATTTACGTCGAATCCGTAGTCTTTCTTCATTTACAAGTGCCGGAATAGAATTTTCGATCACCTCTCTACCACGGCGCAGTGATTCTCGACAGTGTTCGCTCTGAAAATTAACAGTCGTTAAGTTGTTAGTGAATACATAATAGTAGTACC